TGGAACAGGTTGCCCAGAGAGGTAGTGGAGTCTCCTTCCCTGGAGATATTCAAAAGCCGTCTGGATGTGATCCTGGGAAATATGCTCTAGAGGTCCCTGCTTGAGCAGGGAGGTTGGACTAGATGATCTCCAGAGGTCCCTTCCAACCTAAACGATTCTGTGATTCTGTGATACACTAATTCGAGATTTATTGCCTATCCCCATCGGAATGAATCTCACATTGGTGAAAAAAAAAACCTGCTACAACATGATGACCTGTGTCAACTGCTGAAGCGCATCTGAAACAATGGGGAAAAAAACCCAACCTAATCACCGTTCAGGGTCGCCAACAGCAACGGGAATTTTTAATCTTATGCTTCACCCTGTAGTAACATTATGAACTTTGACACTGTTATGTTTACTCCTTATAATCATCCTATACCTCCGTGTGTGGTGGTTATTGTGAAAAACACAAGCCCTGCTGTTATATACTGAATTAGTATATTCTGATTAGTAAACACTGAGGTCTATTTATACCACGAAGGCAAGGGGGGGAGGGGGGAGGTGGCAGGACCTTCGCCCTCCACTTTCCCAAGGGATCAGCAATAACCTCGACACATACAAACAACTGATAGTAAATCACTAGCAAAAGGCCCGAGTGAGAAAGTCCTCACTTGAGAGCAAACAAGGAACTTCCTCCTAAAATTCAAAAGATATGTGACTCCCAAATATGCACCATGGCTAGATCACACCTGATTTGACTAATAGTACAAATCATCGATGTAGTATAAATAGACCTCGCTCAGGACAGCCATTTGAACTCTCCTGAGGAACAGCGGGCCTGTACACAGGGATCTCCCCTCAAGTTGGGACATCTCTTAAAGCTGAAAGATCCCTCACACTCCACAGAAGGTGGTAAAAACTATTGCTTAGTCTGAGATAAACTCTATTTAAAAAAAAAAAAAAAAAAAAAAAGCACTTCACATTCTCCTCTAGGTAATAATGTGCTTTACTATGCACTTAACTCAAAAGATACAAACACTTGGCCTCAATTTAATCACTTATGTGTATATCTGGCAGGTATGCTCCTAAAAAACAAAGGTAGGACTGTTAGAAAAGGGAGCTAATTTAGCTCTAGCCCAGCTTAGCACTAGTGCCTAAAGTAGATGAAGCCTGCAGGCCGCAGGACTGAATTGTAAATGCGCTTGAGAGACATTGCTGAGGATGCGACTGCAAACCCAGCTAGAACCAGCCCTCAAGGATACAGAACAGAACGGACAGAGGTAACAGTTAACCTCCGGATAAGATAAGGCACTGTGAAACAGGAACGTAGCAACCACCCCGGGATGTAGACGTGAATCAATCAAAAGGAAAGAGACCACCGACTCAGTAAAGAAGATTGGAAGAGACTGTCACTGGCAGGCAGGGAAATAAGACTGTAAGGAGTATAATTAGAGAGCTGGTTGATTTTTCAAGGATCATCTCCTCCAAGATCAAGCATGGTCCATCCCAATGGACAGGAAGTCAAGCAAAGGCAACAGGAGGCCTGCACAGATGAACAAGGGGCTCCTGACTAAACTCAAACAGAAAAAGGAAGTGTACAAGCAGTGGAAGCAGGGACAGGTGACTCAGGAAAAATATAGAGACTGTGCAAGCATGGAGGGATGGGGTTAGGAAAGACAAAGCCAATCTGGAATCAAATCTGCCAAGGGACATAAAAGGCAACAAGAAAGGCTTCTACAGGTATGCAAGCAGCAAAAGGCAGGCTAGGGAAAGCATGGACCCACTGCTGAACAGAACAGGGGCCGTGGTGACAAAGGACACAGAAAAGGCAGAAGCACTGAATGCCGCCTTCTCCTCAGTCTTTGCTGGTAAGACCAGCCCTCAGGAATCCTAAGCCCTAGAGATCAGGGAGAAAGTCTGGAGAAAGGAAGCCTTTCCCTTTGTGGAAGAGGATGGGGTTAGGGAACACGTAAACTGGGCATACACAAGCCCATGGGATCTGATGGGATGCACCCACAAACACTGAGGGAGCTGGCTGATGTCACTGCAAGGCCACTTGATTAGCTTTGAAAGGTTATGGGCAATTGGGAGAGGTACCTGAGGACTGGAGGAGACCAAACATCACCCCTATCTTCCAGGAAGACTTGGGGCAACTACAGGCTGGTCAGCCTCACCTCAGTCCCCAGGAAGGTGATGGAGCAGCTCATCCTGGAAACCCTTTCCAGGCACATGAAGGACAAGAAAGTGCTCAGGAGGAGTTAGCATGGATCAACAAAGGTGTAATCATGGACAAAGAGAAAGCATCAAATCTTATTTATCTTGACTTTAGCTAATCTTTTGATGCTTGTGTCCCATAACAGTCTCATCAGCAAGCTCAGGAAGTACAGGCTAGGTAAGTGGTCAGTGAGATGGATTGAAAACTGGCTGAACTGCTGAGCTCAGAGGGTTGCGATCAGCAGCACAGAGTCCAGCCAGAGGTCAGTCACTCATTGTGTAGCCCAGGGGTCCATATTGGGGCCAAAACTGTTTAACCTCTTCATTAGTGACCCACTCACCCTCAGCAAGTTTGCACATAATACAAAACTGGGAGGAGTAGCTGATACACCAGAAGGTTGTGCTGCCATTAGAAGGGATATAAGGTCCCTCTGAAAGTTCTGTTTTCAGATGCTGGTTGTTTTTGCTTTGTGCGCATACATGCACACACACTCCCCAAACTCTGGAAATATAAAACAAGTGTGCAAATTGGCATTCTTGATCCTTCTTACTATTGCTCTTATGTACTTAAACCTAAGAATGCTTACATTCAAGAAGTGACAAGAGAAAGACATTTTAAAGAACTCTTCCTATGCTGTTGGCATATATTGGTAGAGCAATAGAAACAATCTGCTGCATGACCACATAGTCCTCCCTCCCCATATCTGTTTTTAACTGTTCTGAAATCTAAAACTATGATTCCATGAGACAGAGTCAATCCAACAGCACACCTCTGCCAAAGGACGAGTCCTGCAATATTGGCTATGCACTCCCACTGCTTTAATTTGCACCCACATGAGACAATTCAGCTCACTAAAACACACACACACACACACAAATAGTGCCAGAGCCGATACAAGGAAGGGGTGGAGCTTCAGCTACCCCAGTCTTCCAAGCAAAGCCTCTCCTACAGCTACATTCAACTATGTCAACTTCTCCCTTGCCCCACAACACACATTGGTACAAGTTATTCCACAGGAAAAGGCTCATTTACCTACCTCACCAAAGGAAACCTGGAATTAGTTTATGCAGTGCTTTGAAGCCATAGCAAGCTGAAATTACAAAGTTCGCCTAGTCTTAAATATTGTCTCGCCTAGTCTTAAATATTGTCTCGCCTGTACACAGCGGCATTTTCAGACAAAGACTGTTTTGGCCTAATTCTACTCCTGCTGCAATTACTTCAAGGGGACCTGCTGAGCCAAATACCAGTTAAATGCCTTGGCAAAGCTTTGCCCTGAGCATACAACAACCTGAACTTCTCTCAATTGATTCAACAACCCCCCCCCCCCGAACCAAACACCCCAAACACAAACCCTT